CTCTCTCTCTCTCTCTCTCTCTCTCTCTCGCTCTCTCTCTCTCTCTGTGTGTGACAGCATCTGCTGCATGTTCTTCCATTCTTTTTTTGTTTTCTTGTTTTACAAATTTAGATGCATTGGCCTCATGCCTTTCTCATATTTGTTTTTCTCTTTCCCCTTCGGAAGGATCAAAACGAACCCCAGTCCTGAAAATACATCCGAAGTGCACAATCAGTCCACCTCTTGTCAGATGAAAGCGATCTGTGGCACAAATTTAGGAACGTGGCAACATCCAAGTGCTGTCGATCGTCGATGCCCGCAGATATGAAAAAGATTGTTGACTGTCAATGAAACAGAGTTGCACGTACCTTTGCTCGTGTTATTGCGACATTGAAGCGCTTTGCATTGCAGAGAAACCCAATGTTGTAATTTGGGAGCGGGACCTTCCTCAGAGACTCGGGCCTCGTCAACACTGTCGATATGAAGATGATCCTCTCTTCCTGACCCTGCAATTCCGTCCAACATAGTATAAGATTTTAAATCAATGTGTTACCTTGCTATTCCATCCAATAGAGTCTACATCATTTGACAACAGAGGATCTGGGGGATAGCTAGCGGCACCGCAATTGCACGCCTGCCCCTCTCAATGCTGCGACAATTTCATACTTCACAGCTGCATACCTGCCCCTCTCAATGCTGTGGCAGTTTCATACTTTGCAGCTGCATGCCTGCCCCTCTCAATGCTGCGGCAATTTCATACTTCACAGCTGCATGCCTGCTTCTCTCAATGTTGCTGCGGCAATTTCATACTTCTCATCCCAATGACAGGCAACATGGTAATTATGGATCTCAATAAGAAGAGCAAGAAGGACAACACAGTGTGTGACCTACCCACATTTGTTCCAACGTCGAAACAACGTGATTGTTGCACAGCCTGCTCCAATCCGTTTTTTTTAACATTTGCACCAGGACTGGTCCCCGGATGGACCGGGGAGGGGAGCCCTCCCCCGACCGGTGCCCCCCCGGTTGGACCGGCCGGTGCCCCGGGCCGGTTCCCTCCCGGTTGCCCCCAGTGCATTTTCGCTGGGGCCTCAATTTTTTTTTCCGGCGGCGGGGTTGTATTTTTCAGGCACCGTGGGGGCAGGCCGTCACCAGCAATTTGGAAACCGGGTCCTGCAGGCCCTGCTTTTCCTTGTTCGTAAAGCGGCCGATCTTGGCCGTCGATCGTCGCAGATCGGCGGCCAAGATCGGCAGCTGTTTTCAAACTTGGACGCGGCAAGTGTCGGGGGGTGAGCGGGGGAAAACAATTCGGCCGTTCAATCCCGCTCACCTCCGCTCGACGCATCGGAAGGAGCGCCGTCGTCGTCCGCCCCCCCCCCGCCCCCCGCTGTTGGAGAGCGTCGTCGTCGTTGTCCCG